GCGGTATGCACACTATTGTTATATGCACCGACAATATTGGGTAAGTTCTCATCCCAGTCTATTTGGTCAGGACGGACATACATTCTCAGAAGTTGTTGGACCATACGGTTCATTTGCTCAGACTGGCCATTCGTTTCAGGGTGTCTACCTGACGACATGGTGAGTCGTGTACCGTAGGCCTCCATCAGCTTCTGCCAAGGCATGCTTGTSAAYCTGACATCGCGGTCAGRTACGATAGACATGGGAAACCCATACTCAGTTACCCATCGCACCTGAAATTTAGCAATCACAAGTTCAGTCTTGGCCTCTGCAGGCAAGGGTATGAACATGGCATATTTAGAGAAACGGTCAACCACAACCATAACTTGACTATTGCCATTTCGGAACTTGGTGAGTTTCATGAAGTCTATGGACACAGACTCACCTGGCTCACTCGGAATAGGTAGTGGTCGGAGTAAACCCAAAGGGTTCTCATGCGACGGTTTGTTTCTCTGGCATACTTGGCACGTACGAACATACGGTAGTACATCTTCTTTCAAACCCTTCCATTCATAGTGCTCACGCACCTCAGCATACGTCTTCTTGAAACCAAAGTGTCCCTCTGTGTCATGACATTCCCCAATCAATAGACTTTTAAGTTCTTCCTTATGAGGAATGCACAATCTCTGTTCCGTCTGGTCCAACAAGAAGAGTAAGCCATCAGACAATCGATAGTGAGGAAGTTGGGATGGGTCCTTGGCTAGGATATCCATGATTGGTTTCCAGACAGGGTCAGTGGCATATCCAGCGTGAATCTGATCTTTCACATCATTCCCAACATCCAGGTAAGAGACTATAGCCCCAAAGAAATCGCTCCTCCTAGATAGTGCGTCTGCTACAACATTAGACTTACCGTTAATAGTTTTGAGTTCGAAATCAAAGGTATCAATAAAAGCAGACCAACGTACCAACGTGTCAGACAATCGAGGTTGTGTCTTGATCCACTTGAGAGTCGAGTGGTCCGAGTACACGGTAAAATGTCTGCCAAGGATATAGTGTTTCCACGTTTCTAGGGCACAGACTAATGCATACAACTCCCTTTCGTAGGTGGAGTTGGCGACCTTTTCGCACGGCAGACGTTTGGATATAAACTCAATAGGGCGGTAGCCCTTGCCGTCGTCTTGCTGTAAGACAGCGCCAACACCGTACTGACTTGCGTCAGTCGTAACCATGAAAGGAAGAGACGGGTCGGCAATCTTGAGGACAGGATAATGAGTCAAAGCATATTTCAGCTTTTGAAAAGACGAGTCACAATCCTTATCCCATAGCCAGACAGTACCTTTCTTAAGCAACCTTTTCATCAGTGCAGCGATAACAGAGAAGTTCCTAACGAACTTCCTATAGTAACTCGCTAAACCAAGGAAAGATCGAAGGTCTGTCAGAGTCTTTGGCTGTGGCCAATCTCTGATTGTCGAGATCTTCTTTTCCTCGGGCCTCAATCCCTCCTCATTCACTATGTGTCCTAAGTATAAGACTTCAAACTTAGCAAACTCGGATTTCTTTGGGTTGAGTTTGAAGTTACCCTCGCGTAACGTCCCGAGTACTAGGCGTAGATGTTTCTGGTGGTCTTCTAGTGTTTTACTATACACTAGAATGTCATCCAGATAGACGATGACGAAGTCGTCGAGCCATTGCCTGAATAACTCGTTCAGTGACCTTTGGAAGGTCGCAGGTGCGTTCGTTAGACCAAATGGCATCACGATGAACTCGTAATGACCATATCTCGTACGGAATGCGGTCTTATGCTGATCGACGGGATCCACCTCGATCTGGTGGTACCCAGACTTAAGGTTGATCTTACTAAAAACCTTACAACCCTGCAACTGATCCAAGAGATCGTCGATCCTTGGCAAAGGTTCGGCGTTTTTTACGGTGACGACATTTAGCCCTCTATAATCGATGCAAAGGCGCAACTCACCTTCCTTTTTGGGCACAAATAAGACAGGTGCACCATAAGGAGAGGAGCTAGGGCGAATCCATCCCTTCTCCTTCAACTCAGACAATTGTTTCTTGAGTTCCTCAAGTTCCCTTGGAGACATGCGATAAATAGGACCCTTGGGAACCTTGCTACCGGGCATGATCTCGATCGTGTGCTTGATAGCACGCGAAGTGACCCCGGTAGGCTCAGACATAACATCGGCGAACTCCTTTAGGAGTGCATCTATGCCAAGAGGATGAGTAGTTGAAGACTCACCTGCTTTCTTAACTAACAACATTAATACCTCTGACGATTGATCGGGATGCAGGGTAGCTCATGCAACAGAAAGACAAGACAGAGTCAGACCCTGACCGATGATACAACTTAATCGGTTGCAACTCAGACGATTCATCCTTAGTTCTTACTTCTTTCTTTTTGAAATCAATCTTGGGATCAGCTTCGTCGTGCCAATCCATTCCCAAGATGATATCAAATGGCATATTCTTCTCGATCAGGAAGGGAAGCTCATGCCAAATCTTATTCCCATCCTTGGTACTGAACTGACAACGAACACGATTGACGTACTGTGTTACCGTCATCGTGCTTTTGTCAGCCAGAATAGACGTGATTGGTTTAGACAAAATCAGGATCTTCATGCCGAGGTGCAACTTACGGATTGCATGTTCGAACATGTAAGATCGTGTGGACCCAGGGTCCAACATCGCACCAATGTGTGTGCAATTGACTACCAAGTCAGCAATCAACAACTCACCCTTAGACTTGGCTTTCTTCGCCCACGAACTGCGTAACGCGACTAACTCGCAACCAAGCTCGGCAAGGCAGTCGTCCAGAGACAAGCATAAGACAGGAGTAGGGTGGTCTGGACGACGGGCGAAAGGGTTTCCATCCTCTGCCATGGGAGTCAGAGTGTGGAAAGGGATCGTATGCGCCTCGCATGTGATCACACCCTCCGACTCTGTAGGAACAGAAGTTATTCCTACTGGCTGCTCCCTTTTGAGTTCCTAATCAACGGACAAAAGGCAATGACATGCCCCGCAGTGCCACACTTGAGGCACTGCGCATTATCCATTCTATCTTGCCACACCTCCCGGGTTAATCCCATCTTCAGCCACGGTCTGCCGACCGCAATCCCAGGATGGTATGGGAAGGAGCGTGGTCTTCCCTTCGGTCGAGTGTTCGATGACGGTCCTCCCTTGTTGACCGTCGCAGCGGTAATCTCCCCCTTTCCAGGGTCACTGCTGCTGTCACCAACACCCTCGTTCTCCAATGGCCATTTCTCCATTGTATCGTCGTCGAATACGACGAGGGTGTGGTCTTGGCGCTTTTGACGCCATATGACCCGCTTGTCGTAGCCTCCCCGACTGCTTCCTCCTCCATTCTTTACGGCAGCAGCATAGGAACCTTTGACTTGCGAAGTTATTTGTTCCCGCTGCAACGCCAGGTCGCGGAACTGACGGTAACTATACTTACCGGACTTGGCCTCGGCGACCAAGTGCCCTCGGATCGATTCGGGCAATGCACGCGAGTAAATGTAAAGAACCTGAGAGTCCTGCAGGTTAAGACCGAGAACCTGCAACAGTCGGTCAACCTCACGAGACAATGACTCAACTGATGACCAGGACTTCTGTCCTATCATGGTGAGTTGGTCGAAGGCCTTATCGGCCGTAGTCTTGTCCAGAAAGCGGTCCTTGACTTTTGCAAGGAACTGCTTCAACGTCATAGTCTTCGCCCAATCACCTATATCGTCAAACCCCGCGGCATTAGCTTCCGCCAGAACCCATTGTTTCACCTCTCCCCCCATACAAGAAGTGGTGAACGCAACTTGCGACTCTTCTTCTACCGGGGCAGTCCCAACGTAGGTTTGGATCTCAGCGATCCAAAGAGGAAGGCTTTCTTCTTTCTTGTTAGAAAAAGTAAAAGGCAATTTCATCTTCACCTTTTCCTTTTTCTTTGGCTTAGTCGGATCTGCAGGTTTGGCATTGTCCTTGGGAGAGGGAGTGGGACCGGAGGGACCACCATTCCCATTGCCATTCCCGTTCTCATTCTCATCTCCATTGCCATTCCCCTCAGGTTTCTTCTCTTCGGGTTTCTTCTCTTCTGGTTGCTTCTCGGTTTCTTTTACCGTTTCCTTCTTCGTTGTGTCGCCGTTTTTCATTCCACCAAGAAGCAACTTCTCGAGCTTGACGTCCGCTTTTCTTTCTTTATCTTCTTTCTCTTCATCATTTTCAACCACAGGGGTTTTTCCCTTGACAAGGCTAGTAATGACATGAAGGCCAACAGCAAGTTCATTCATTCTGGATTGCTATTGGTCCAATTTTTCTTCAAGAAAAGCCAAATACGTCAATATTTGTCCAAGCGTCTGAGCAACATCTTTTTCATCTAAGGAAACGTATTGCTGTCCTCTACCCATTCTCTGTTGTAGTCTAGTTTCCTGTTCTTTCTTTTGCAACAGTTCTTCTCGCTTTTTCTCTTCTTTTGCGAGTGTCTCTTTCAACTGTTGTATGTTCTCTTCAATGCTTTCCACTTTCACTTCTGGCGCACCATCCTTTCGCTGAGCTATTTCTTCCAACTGCTGGATGGTAAATTGGTCCAGTATCTAACGACACTGGCGAATAACCTTCTGGATTTCAGTCGCTGCTGCTATCATCTCCACACCCGTGATAGCTTTGGCCAAACGATCAGAGATCGCATCAAGGTCAAATTTACCCCGGATGTGTTCTCTTGCAGCAGGGACAGCAAACTCCATGTCCACCAGCAGTTGGGAGAGGAGCTCTCCCAGTTCACTTCTTCGCGCCTCGATCTGGGCACGTGTACGCGGCTTAGTCAAGGAGCTACTTGCTCCCACCGCATAAGGCACTTCCCCAGGTCCGAACAAACGAGGCACCCACCGGGTCAGAATAGACTGACGCATGTGCTCAGCAATCGGTGCCATGATCAACATCAACAGGAAACCTAACAGGCCAATTCTTACTCAATAAAAGAAAACAGACAATATTATGTGATGGCTGGACAACCACTCGATCGTCAGTACATCAGAGGATTCACAAGAAAATAAATAAATAAAAATAATTAATTATTCTCTTGATTGATGTCTTTTCTATAAGTTGTTCTAATTTTGTTTTCTCTCCTATTCGTGTGACGACTCCTCTTCCAGGTAATCGAGCAGGCCAAGGTCGTTAACATTCACAGGTACGTGTGCACGCACAGCCAGACAACAGGTAAGTACCGGCAACACAACCAATCAACATCAATCTTCCCCACAATGCCACGTCAGCATGCACTCTAATCACCCCGACAGCAATCAAGCACCACAAGCCAAAGTCTGCCCCTCGTGCCGCTCCCAGCGTCGGAATGCATCAATCGTTTCCCGAGGCACGTCGTGCCTGCTTCGGCCAAACCCCCCGATATGCCAACTCAGCTTTCGCCAAGTCAGCACTTCGAACCAATCAAAGATCGTGGGGGTGGCTTCAACAATGAATGCTGGCCGCTCTTTCTCTTGTTACTCGGATCCGTTACTGAAGGTGAACTCCCACAATGTTGCGCTTCACAAGTCTGCTCGCCGCATCCCAAGTCCAATCAAAACCTGCCACGTCAGCGCTTGATCTCGCCAATGCCAGCGAGTACTCAAATAGCCAATCAATTGGCTCCACTCGTCTCTGGCTGGCGAAATAGCAATGCGGTAACTCTGTTTTGTCGGCGAGATATCATCAGCACATGAAAAGAAGTTCCCACTCAATATTTCACGTGGACGTGGAAGTGCCATGTTAGCATCAGAATCCAATGGCAGTCAATATACTGCCCATCATCACCATATCCTTCGCGCGCGTCGTCGGACACGATAGAGAGCATCCCGATACTCACTTACCTGTGCGCGCGAACGTGGAAAGAAAATGGCGCGCTCGTTATCAATCGCGTCGGAGAGACGCGAGCGCCGTAGTAGACAATGTCGGAAGTAGAGCTCCGATACCAAATTGCAATGTGCCCAGTCGTGATAATCAGTCGTCACTCGCAAAGACAAAGTAGACGAACGCTGCTGATAAATCATAATAATAATAATCCCCAAATGAGAGAGAATACATACACAGACGAGAGAGGGATGAGGGAGAATAGACTTTGAGAGGGTGGAAGAGTCTCCTCCCTACATCCCACTTCCTCTTCGGGCACTTCCTCCTCCTAGCAGCATAATCGTGTCTCAATCAGAGATCCAGACGTCCAAGACCATGTAGACCAACAGTGCCACGTGGCACCAACAGACCCGTCATCAAGCAGCAGCGTGACGAAGTTGAAGACACCAGGTATGTATCACGACCCCAACCACAGTCCTGAATCTTACTTCCACTCTTGTCCAAAACATTCAGATCAATTTCAATATCCATCTTGTCATACGCGTATAGTAGTCACTTCCAGTCAGTAGATCAATTTTGACCACTCTCAACAAGATTGCTTCTAAAGATGCTTTTCAGTATCGGTATATCAGTGCAGCAAGTTTCAGGCAAGAAGATCTGTCAATCTTCATTGTTGACATGTGCATGGCATTCTTAAAATTTCCAATTTATTATTTGCATGATCATTGTTGTTTCGAATCATAATAAAAGATTCCTAAGACCCGGACGTAATTGAAAGGTCTCGCTCGAAGCCGGATGCACAAAACATGAAGGGATTTGCATGATTTAATTTATTTATCTATTGCAAAATAAATAAAAAATCTTGCGTGACAGCTTGTTGTCTCTTCGATCGCCGAGAGTGGTCTGAGTGGAAAAAATGCGACAAAAATGGCGTTGTTGCCAGGGACATGAAAAATTTTCGTGTCTTGAGCAAGCCTAGGTCAACATCAGTTTTGAGCTTTGATTAGGGCAATAAGAATTGTTGACAATGTCCTAACCCTCATATTGACTTTACTATCCTCATTGGGTCATGATTCTCTCGGAGATCATGGTTGCTAACTATGTTTAATCTCTTCATGTGAGAGGTACTACCCTGGGCTGGAGAGGGAGATTGACACTAGTTGTTGGAGAGGATCAGGTTTGACGAAAGGTATGTCTTACGAACCCTTGACATCCTTGAAAAACTGAGAAAGAAGAGAGCACGTCAGAAGCAAAGAAATTCATTCATCAGGGATGATAATCAAAGGTGCATTGAATGAGTTCACCACTAAAGAGATACTCCCCTATCAATACGAGCATTGTTGGACATATCATTCTAGCAGTTCGACTATCTGTGTAGTACTTGTTTACTTCTTGGAAGAAGATATCTATGATATTAGTCCTTATTGGGAGAGATTCAAGTCCGAGTAAGGGAAAGGTTGAATGTCTCTTGCAGTCATTGAATACCCTGAGTAGGAAATAATTGTTCTTATATGAGATTGGTATGAGATGGTTGAAAGTGGGTGGGAACAAGAGCGGTTCTATATTCCAATATTCCACTTCATCGAGTTGAATATATATGACGTGAGGATTTATGTTCCCACCGAGAGAAGTGTTGATGCCACTTACGGGAGATGTTGGGGATTCATCCATGGCTGGTATATGGGCCAAGTGTTGGTGGTTTCAACCACCACTCCTCCAAAACGCACAGCTACAGGATGCAAACTAAAAGGATCAGCCTACCAAAATCATCTGGGGTACCCGACCGAAGCACAAAATTCTAAGGATCCCACCTGTGGCTTTAGCTCTCAATTAGAAAAATCCCAAAAAGAATCAGGCATATAGGGTACAACATACTTCATACTCCATGTAGAAAAAAATCATATGATGCAAAGGAGGACATAATGTGAACAGGTCTGATTGAGGGTTTGTTAAAAAAAAAAAAAAGAAAAAAAAAAGGTTGGGCCCTTTGTCGCCCAGCCCCGTATCCATACTGACAACTCATACTTGCATTGCTTTCGTTTCTTACATTGTACTCTACAAGGACGCTAAACCCGATTTCCAGCAGGTGATGCTCCCCACCAATAGATGGAGTCTCCCCGACGGTGCTAGTGGTGTCTGCTCCTATCAGCACCCCTAGCAGCCGCTCGAGAAATGTTACAAGTAAGATAAAGGGGATTTTTTATTTTATTTGATTTTTGCCTCAGAGTTCGTTCTGGAGGCTATTGTTTCTTGGCTAGGGTGTGACCTTGCTCCCCTGTTGCTGTTTCCATGGCTCTCCACCTCTATATGTTGCTCTTGGTTTGCAAACCACGAAACTAGTAGACTAGGGCTAACGAACTGAATTCTTAGAATAAACAAATTGGTTACATACAGGAGGGGAGGGAGTCAAGGGAAAACCATAGGTATGTCCGGGGTAAGGGGACGAGGACACATAAAAAGGATAGGACGACAGGGCGCACATGCATCTATTACCAGGGGGCGATGCGCCACTTTACACGGAGAAAGGATGTTTCTAGTATAGGGGGGCCTCTTCTGAAAGGCACAACCATGACAGACTCCTGTCCCACAAGCAAGAACTCGAGGAGGGATGATCAACAACAACGGGAGTCAATTTCACCACCAGAGGTGTTGAATGACCTACAGGCCACTAAAAAATGTATCGAATCACACACGTCACCGACTTCGTCCTCCTCTCCCTCCTTGGTCGGCAAGGTCAAACGCCCGTATAGCGAGGAATCTTTGACGATCCAGAGAGGTGAGTTGGGAACATTCGGCAAAACTTGGTAGGTTCCACTGGACAATCTCACAACAACCAGCGCCTTCTTCTTCTCCAAATTTCTCACCAAATCACAAGACCGCCTCGTCAACCAAAGGGGTAAGAAATATCAAGTCAAAATGTTGTCAACAACTAAGATTGAGAAACGAAACGAACTGTACACCCGCCACACAAGCAACTAGGTGTTCTACGATGACACCGTGTACAAATCGTCCAACGACAAGATCGATTGGATATGAAAGAAACTCACTACACTCAAAGGGAGCGAGGAAGGGGCATGAGACTTCTTCCTTATTCAACTGATCTTGTTGGAAGTCATTTGCATGTACGATGTTGATAAGAGGATCATAGCCACGCGGCCTAGTGTGCGGTGTGGACGATCTGAAATCAGAATTTACTCATGGTCCCCGCAACGTCAACAGAGCAGGGACGAAAGGCGAGAACAACTCATGACCAACTACTATTGGGTAGAATATCGACATATCACAATTGAGGTTCATGTTGCTTTTGTGCAGGACCTCGCTAAAAAATATGAGTTGTCAATTTCATCGACCCGTTGCGCGCGCACATGGCCGCTCGGAATGACTACCTGATGGTAGCTCTGGATTTACCGACGGACCATATCTTCCAGATAGATGATATCATCCCCTTCAGAATTGGGGGTAAAGATTTCAAAATCCACACAGCCCACAAGTGGCGCCCCTGGTGCTTCAAGTGCCATCAGTACTTGCACAGGTGTTTCGGAAACAAAATGTCCTCACCACCCAGCTCGACGTATTAAGGCCACCGATCGTCTTTTTTGCGACCCATTTCAGACCACGCATAGGCGCACTGTAGACCCGGGCCATGAAGGATGGTTGTACATCGGCGAAGCCAAAAAAGGAGGAGGCATCAGAGGATGGGAATGGGAGAAGATGGAGGAGGCAAACCTGGATAGCAAGCCTACAGATCACTGGACTCCCCCACACTAAGTCGAGGAGCATTTGGGGGTGCAGCACGGGAATGAGAACAAGAGGGGCAAGAAACCACGTTGGGAGCCACAACCAATGGGATTCCTAAAGGATGTTGATGCAACGGAGATATGGCGGACAGTCCCCAAAAAGAAAAAGAAAAAAAAGGGCAACCAAAACAATCTAAAAAAAATCGGATGAAAACCGTGGTGGCAGATAAGGGGAACGGGGACCGCAGACAAACGGCGAACCGCTTTGCAGCGTTCGGAGTAGCAGGGCTACAAGCAGATGTCCCAGAGGGGGGAGATGGGACTGCAGCAACAGGGAATGAGGAAATAGCAGGTTCCCAGGCGGCTCCTGGGGAAGGAGCAATAGCACTCAACACGGACGGGGGCACAACACAGATCAACCAGCTGGTTGACCAGCAGGGGGAGACGGGGAATACAGAAGGAGTTGCAGAGGCAGCGGGGACACGAACTAGGGAGGACCAGGGCCTGCAGACCAACAAACACCAAGCCTTTCACCCCTCTCGAACGTTGGACCCCTTTCAACAAGCTTTCGGGCCACAACAATGGAGGTAGAAGTGTCGGAACCCCTGGCCGCAAACACCCCGATGCCCTCGCCAAAAGTAATCATGACGGACCAGGCTCCGGAAACACAAGAGGATATTGGGGACAGAATGAAAGTCGTGGCAGAATGGCTTCATGATCGATTGAGAGCCCAGTATAGTCATTATACTCACCTGCCTTAAGATTTTTGGGACCAGGTGTATCTGGACTTGTTTGAGCTACTTGACGGCAGCCCGAGCCTCAAGAAGGTCCTTGAACAGGGCTTACCTCAAGTGGCTAACTCGTAGGAGACTTGGCACCGGGTCTGGTGTATTGTCTTCAACCAGTTCCAACATCCACCCCCTCCTCCTCAAGGAGCATACGCGCCCCCCCCCAATGATATTGTCCTCACGACGTCGTCTCCCCCCCACCCCCTTCCGTCCGACCCCCCACCTGACTTGTCCCTATTTGATCAAGGCAGCGAGGGAGGGAAGTTACCACGCCGCCCTCGCCTTTGCCATCTCATCGAGAAAGGTCTAATGCAAGACCCACTCCCCATGGGGGACAAGGTCCTAGCGATCCCGATCTGGAAGAAAAATGAGCGATGGGAAGTGGGCCTCTCCCTGGCGAAGGTAAGCGACTACGCCCCTTGTCGAGGGGCAGTCACACGGCACGGGTGGAGGCTGCAGCAAGAAGGAGAGAGGAAGGGCATATTCAAGGTAAGGGATGCAAGGGATTTTATCAATGATCTTTTTTTTTTTTTTTTTTTGGGACAAATGCTCCAGTGT